CTCTTATTTGCAGGAAAAATATAGAAATTTAGCAAATCATCGTTGAAAAAAGTATAAAAGGATATGGTTGTAGTACTCTGATGGTTACGAATTGACTCCGATTTCGGGCGATCGATGAACGAAAGCGAGTGGGGAAACGAGGACCGTTCGTTTTGTAGTTCAAATGAGAATAAAAATTCTTAATTAAATATAAAATATTCCATAAAGTACATTGAAATTTCTGCCTTCGGCAGACTCAGGAAGACTCGGGATTCATGTTACTCCCAGAAGCCAAAAACATTACTCATGTTATGAAATTGATCGCAGAAAATAGATAAGCGCAACCTTGCCTTGAAATTTGGAGTAAAAGAACAACCAAAAATGCAAATAAAGATCTGCAAGTACAACTGATTCAATTTGTGTTAAACGACCTTCGATTTTACAGCGCCAATGATAAGTCTGGAACATTCAATATTTATGACTTTACTATACTCTTAGTTTTCAGTTCTTGTGTAATTTGTGTGTTATTTCGAACACGACCATTCTGAAAGTGGCACCGAACCTATAAAATCTTTTACGATCTGTGAAATACGTTTTACATTCTCACACCCTTCATTTTCATACCTATAATCTAAGCTGATGTGAGAATTGTCAATGTTTAGGACAAACTAGACTGATTCATCTGAGGGCAATTCCAAGTAAGTTAATTAGATCGCTATAAAAGTTGTTGGCGTTGAGAGCATGCAAAAAATAATTAACCTCGTTCTTTATTTTTATTAATTTAACGTGATAGTTTTTAAATATTTACAATACTGTGGAAGACCATTAAATTACTATACATCTTAAATGTAGTACTGTCGCAGTCAGAGGCAATCATTCTTTTAATGTCTCTTATTCAGACGATATAAGATGTGAATTCTTCTTAAATCATTGAATTTGAGATATTTCTTGGCGAGCAAAATTGGTGATTTTTAAATAATAACCTTTTCAATTTATGAGTACTTTCAAGGATATGATGTTTCGCTGAACATTTAAAAACGACAAGGTCTCTCCAATGCACTTAAGTAATTATTCCGCTCTAAAATAAAGTTAATTCCGATCATTATTTCCATGTTTCTACAATGAATTTTACTGTAGTAGGGTGGTTCGAAGAAAATGCATTTCTAGGACAATTATTTTTTTCTGCAAGCTCTGTTCTAACATTCTGACGTTCTCAATACCAAGAAATACGAGTATCAATTGAAAATATTACTGCGTGTATTGGTTTTTAAATTAACATCATTGATCTTTTGACCTGGCTTGTAGGTGAAACTTATTTTATGTAAATTTCAAAAGAATAGAAGAAATCGATCATATCGACCGGTTAAAATACAGGTCTGCAATTTAACGTATTCTTAGCAACACGTTCTCCAGGATGAAAATATGTTCACCAAAAGTATAATTCTATTTGTAATTTATTTTTTTGATATGTGGGAGATCTTCGACGAATAGGGATTACGATTGATCAAATGACTACATTCTAGCGATATTTGGATTGTATCTGAAGCAATAGTGGAATGGGAGGCAGTGAAACGTGTGAACCGCGAGAAAACTGCTGAGAATTCGCGTTGTTCTTCATAAGTTGACTGGGAATTGATCTCGCACCTCAGCGGTGACCACAAACATAGCAAAAAATGGTTTGAAAATATGAAAATTGTCTGACTGACGAGAAGTTTCACGATACAATGTTTAAACAATTATTTTCTTAAAACAAAAAAGAAATGTTCTTAAATTTTCCTCACGAATAGATCAAAGGTTGCTTATACAAATGATACAGGTCCTACTATCGGAGAATTCTTTGATTATCGAAAATTGTAAAAGCGGAAATGGCAAAATTACAATTTTGATGATCGATATTTTTTCCTTAATGAATTCAATTCTAAAAATTATATCAACTGTGATCATTTGCAATGATTATGTAAAGAGACGCAGGTTACATTTCCGCTGAACTCGTTGAATTTTGAAAAATTATGAATGCTACAAATAATGCGAGAAAATGTGTGTTGTTGCAACATCATTAATTTCGTTCGTTTTGTAAAGTCAATTTCATATCCTTCAAATCAACATATCAGAAATTTGCTCGTCTGTGAATATTTTCATTTACTAGCGGGTTTAGCTAAAGAACAAAAATTTACCAGAACGACTACCAATGATTAATAACGTGTTCATGTTTACAGTGGAACCTTGTCTATGATTTGTATTTACAATAATGAAGTGTATTAAGACTAGCATTAAGTAACAAGCTGCAGTCGTTTAATAAGCTAAATATGCCATAGAAGTCTGAGAAAACTTTCTTGAATCATTTTCACATCGTAATTGTTGAGCTCAATTTCTCAGAATGAGTTTCTCTGAGATGTCACAAAGGTTTTTTTTATGAGAAGTCTTAGGTCTCTGTTTTAATACTACATCGACAAACTGTGTCTATGTCTAACAGCTATTAGAGTCAAAAGTGGAAAAACGTTTCTGCAATACCGCAAAATAATGTTTGGCACTGAATATTTGTAATTTTTTGCGTAAATGAATGACATTGTGTTGCAAGTTTACAGAAGGAAATAAAATTTTAATTGTATGTCATTAATAAAATATTTCATGCAATTTCACAGTGTTGCTCTCCCATTTCACAGTACTTCCTCCATTTGTATAATTAAAGTAAATTATTTATTAAATATTGAACATCAGTAAAAAATGTATAGGTGCTAAATTTTTCTCACAGAGTATTGATAAATAAAAGATTGAATTATACTTTTATCTATTTATTGGCATTAAATTATCTAATTTTTTAAAACCTCTAATTGAACTACTAAACTACTCTACTACTAAAATCTATTTCTAATACACCAAAATTATCTATTTTTATTTTTAGAAAAATAAACGAACTTTCCTCCAAAGAAGTTGATTTTCGAGCACCGCTCGATAAACACCCAACACTCACCATACCGGACACAGATTTGTATGGAACTTGTCAGCAGATAGTAAGTACTAGAAATAGTCAATATATTAAGTCATTAGAAGCAAGAATATTGCGTGTAGAATGCTTCTGTCGGCCGGTTGGTAGGCAAGAGCAAGGAGTGGGCGAGCTCGCCGAAAAAGTTTCAGTTTGCTATGCCCAGCGCAGCCTTGGACCAACTCAAGATCGTTGACAGCAGGACTTCACCCCCGAAGCGCAAAAATATATTTCGGAGTGACCTGGGCACTGGATTCCAAATAGAGTGTGATATTTTCTTATCGTTCCGTCGGGTCTCTATCATAATTATAATTGTTTTCACATCTATTACTTTATATTCGAAATCCCTGTCTAAATTGTTATCTAATCTTTCCGTGACCAGCGGCATTGGAACCGGAATATTTATATTAAAATCGTGGGCTGAAATCCCTCCTGTATAGGATAGGGATATAATATTTATCGTTATAATTTGGTGATGGGAGGGAAATTATCTTTCTTTATAAAAAAAACAAGAACAACATACACATCATTCAAATATATTCAGCACCGTGGCCAATGGTATCGTTAGTTTATTTTAATGAATACCAAGTTTCTATCTTTCTTCTCTAATTTTAACAAACTTTGTTATTATGATGATTACAAATTATGATGGTGCTGGTCATGGAAAGTGTATATAACTTAATTTTTTTGTAATCGTGCTTTTTCTTAATTCTACATATTAACTAAACAACTCTTGACCTTGAACAATTTACTTATGAAAGGTCTCTTTTTTTATACTTAATTTCCAAACTTTCCTTATTGAGAGGAAGCACTGCAATCTTGGCGCCGACAAGAATCACTCAGCCCGTAGCGTTGTCCTTCCACCATTTCTGGAATTACACGCTGAAATCTTATCTCCGTACGTTATTGTTTACCATCCGCGTCCTACTTCTATTAGCTGTCTACGTTTGCGAATCAAAATTCGCATCTACAATCACGATATATCCTAACTGATTAATTTTAACACAATTCGCGGATGTTCATCTTCCATCTACCAGGTCACACAAAATATTTTTTCATATCATTTTATACCAGTCAAGGCGAAAAGTTTTCACTCTCCCAAAACACGAAAATTGCCATTACACCATGCTACACCATGTTGTCTGCTCGCCATCTATCACCCTCTCCCCTCATTCTAGTCTTTCGAATATTTTTTCTACAATTAAATACGTCAGTTTTTTAGTTATTGTGACGAGTCTGAATGGACTCTTAAATATTAATTACATAATCACTCAGATTGTACAACTTTGCGTTTTATTTAATATGCAATATACAAATCGCTTACCACACGAGTACCACACATGACTGGTATCATAACGGTGTTATTAAAGATGAAGGTGTAAGTGGAACAGTCATATTAATACATATTTGTAACGATGACACATGATTCTTACATTTAAATAGATTTCGTTAATTACTAAAACAAACTGCAAATGCATTCTTATTTTGCTTTAAATGTCTCTACGTAATCTCTAAGTCAAGAATAATCTGACGAAATCCGGTGATTTGCAAGTTGCTCGTTTTATTACTTTTTTATCTCTTTCAAATCTTGACATTCATGATTGAGTGAGCAAAATACACTACCTGGATGGCCGAAGTGGCTACAGTGTATGCCCACTCACCGCCTCGGTCGGTAGGGTCACGGGTTTGAGTCCCATCATGATAGTTAGTCCCTTGACTTTCATGTCCCTGTGTTGTAGCAGAAGGTCTTGTGGATCTGCCGACCACATCCCGAGGAGCCCGCAGGTGTGTCTAGTGTAAATGTTAATATGTGACCCCATGATAGGTTAATTATTACCTAAACTATAACAAAATGGGTACGCATCGTGGATAGCCGAAATAGGCAACCCCCGAAGGGGGAAAATTCCCAGAAAGAAACAAAAATGATTGAATGAGCCAAATACAGTTTGAAACAGCGTTAGCATCGTAAGCATTTTAGCGGCCGTCGCAGAGGTCATGCGGCATCGTCTACCTCAACCGCGTCTGTCGCGAGGCCTACCTGTCTCGTCGAGCATCACTTGCGGCGGCGACGGCGGCGTGACGGACGGGGCGGGGGAGGTGGCGACGGGCCCGTCCGAGTAGGCGGCTGCGGGGACGGCGGCCGTGGCGGAGGCAGGCACCCACAGCCACAGCGAGGCGACAGCGAGGGCCGCCGCCACCCGCGCGGGGCGGGCGGCGGGCATAGCGCGTGAAGCCCCCACAAACACCACGCAACCTCTTCGCTCAGCGCACCCCACGACCCCTCGGCTTCCGTCCCCTGGGGCTGCCCGCGCACACGCTCCGCTGGCCCCGCTTGCAATCCGTTCGCTTCCCGACGCTTGGCCGAACTGAACTGATGAAAATTCACGCTACGAAGGGCAGGCTGTTTGCTTCTGCGGTTGAGGTGTTGATTTTGTTTTGCACAATGTTGAGGTTCACGTTAAAGGCAGTTCATCGCCGTCTGTTGATATCTCAAACGGTTTCGAGAGGTCCACTTTAATTAAAAACTGAGTAATTTCCATGACGAAACTATTGTCACACTTTATTATTTTGATGTGGAAAACTTCTAGTGTAATGTGATCAGGTTGAAGTCGAAATTGGATACAAATTAAACATCTTCAATGACGTATTCGTGTCATCGACGAATTCGAATATTTGTATATCACATTGAATAACACAAGATACAGACCGTTTCAGAAATTTCTTTATAAACTATCATATAGTGGTAATACCCTATTAGTTTGCACAAATCATTCAACACGAATATATTGTTTGGCTGTCACAAATTTATGTTAAAAGAAAAATACATTTCTGAGAATTTTTTAACCACTTTTGACAAACACCGTTATAACAACAAGACGAACACATGTAATTTCACATTCAGTAGTTTCACAACCAACTCTTCTGTGAAGTAGTTAATATAGCCGCTACATCGGTACCAAAGTACGTTTCACAAGAATATACACCAAAGAGGAGATGAAGTTCAGGAGATTACAACGCTCGTTTCGCTTTCATCTACAGCGTTGATCTTTGAGTAGTCACCACAGAAATATTTCATTCTTATTTCCTTTTTAACTCCTCTAATAATACATTTAAACTGAGAAAATTTGTCATGTCGATGTAATGATACACGATACGTACGATAATTACTATATTACGATATACGATAATTAATATATTACTTTTGAGCACAACCTGTAACACACGTGACGTATTTCGCGTACAAAAGCGTTTTCCAGTCAGGGCTATCTTCGAGAGAAAACTCTTGAACAGCAACTAAACTATTATTTTGTTCCGTCACTTAAACACTAACTAAACTTTCCATCCTTTTCCGCAACGAACAAGCGTATACCAACTTCACATTCAGCGGCAGAAACCAAATAGCAACTGTTTCAATTCCTCAGACTGTCATTCCCACATCACTTTCACAGAAACAAACTTGTTCGGAAGTTTGGTTCACGCAACGAAAGAAAAAAAAGAAACGGAATTCCACCGGCCACTCGTACTGTCCGCGACCGCGAGCCGGGGCGGAGGGGCGGGGGCGCAGACGCGCTGCGCTGGGCGCGGGTGGAGGCGGTCGCCCTGCAGCGCGCAGGGCCGCGACGCGCGCACGTCCTTCCCCGGCGGACGACTAGGCCGCGGGCCGCCCGCGCCACGACGCCTCCGCCACCCCGTGAGCTGAGAGTTCGGCGTCGCGCCGCTCGGGCCCCGCCCGCCACCACCGTCCCCCTCGCGCACAGTGGTTCGCGCCTCATGCCCCCGGCGTGGAGAAGGCTTTTGCTAGGCGCAGAGCAGTGACCTGTATTGATATATTATTATTATTATTATTATTATTATTATTATTATTATTATTATTATTATACATAAAAATATTTGAAATGTTAGCCATTGTTTTAATCGTGTTATAGATTATATCACTGTAAAACCCAATATTGTAGTTGTTACAAATAGGACTTTTATATTTTCAATTTTACATTGAATTATTTATGGTAAAATATTTCATAAGAAAAGGCTTTTATGTAATTATAGTGGGTAAAATTATAGTATGTCAACATTATGAAGTTAAAGAAGAAAATACTGTACAATTATCAAATAATAAAACAAACTATTCTATTATTATTATTTCTTTCAAGTCTCTCCCTTAGCGAGGTGCCAGCAGCAAACACTGGGATCTTTGTAGAACCAAGGTGCCTGCTTTGGTTGCAAACTCGGGCGGTCAGAATTCAACGTCGTTATAACAATAAAAACTTCCTCACGATGCGTGCAGTACTCTGGAGAACAGCCTTTTGCATTGATTGAATGTGCCAGTTTGTAAAGCCAAGTCTTGCAGACAATGAAATTAGTTCTTCAGATATCAGCCCATTTGCAGATATGACCATGACACATATTATTATTATTATTATTATTATTATTATTATTATTATTATTATTATTATTACATATTTTTGTGATACAGCGTACATTGCTACTTTGCACAATTGTTTGATATAATATTAATGCACATAATACTGCACAATAAAAAATAATGATGGTGACCCTACTGGCCCCTCAATGGAAAGAAAATTTGGGTGAGGTGTTCAGGAGATTGTAGTTAGTGACATGAGTGCGGTAACGGGACTTATGATCATGTCAAGTTCGGTCAAGGTAGAATTGGAGTTACGAAGGGCGGAATTCATCTTTGGGGAATATAGAGGGGATGCGGTTTAGATGAGGATGAGTGGTTTTTCCTAAGGGGAATGTCGGGTGGAAAGGGAGGTTATGAGGATTGTTAAAAAATTTCCGGGAGGTGGGCGATGTGCTGGACTACTGAAGGAAATTTTAGGTCATTGTAAATTTGTACATTTGAAATGTACCATGGGGCAGGAGCGACTTGTATTGCCATTATTTTATTGGTATTCACAAATGTCAAAGACAGTCAAATTAGGTCACTATTCTATTTATTCGATATTAGTCACTATTCTGACATTATGAAGTGATTTTACGACGTTTCTCATGTCTTCTGCTCACGCATCCCCAGACTAACCTTAAAACATATATCTGAAACATTGAGAAGGAATATTAAAACTTGTAAAAAACCAAATTCACTTGAATCAAATGAATAAAATACTACCAGAAGAATAAAATTTCAACACAATAAATAAGACAGTGAAAATTTAATACAGCTATCTCATTAGATTACGAAGGATTCCGCTGCCGGAGTTTGTATTATTTAAGCTATTCGGGACGAGTCGCGTCTCTATTGTGGAGACTCATGTTTCGGCCAGCATACGGTGGCCTTCGTCTTTACGGTATGAGTTTCGGCCTGTGCGGCCAGTTCTCACTATGTGCAGCACGGTTCATCATTACGCTCTGAAGAAATTCACTATACGGCCAAAGAGTAAGCCACCATGACAGAAACACTGCTCGTACCGGATGGTCTAGATAATAGTGGTCTCATTTGTTTTAACATTCGTGGAAATAACTGAATTTATTTAATGTTAAAGAGACAATTGTTTTATTTTATTACCTCCACTCAAAGTCCTATAATGCTAATTTTGATTATAGGCATAAATTCAGGGAAAAATAGAAGACTCTGGCCTTGTGAGAGGTATCATTGGTTTTCTTAGATACCTACAAAGATTGAAAAAATTAAATACAATGAAAGAGTTTCATTTTTGAGTAAAAATTACAATACTTTACTATCTTAACTTACAACTTATCACACTTGATGTTACGCCTATATTAAACTCAGTGCGTTACTGCTAATGACACAGCAGTTGCCATGTGACAAGGAAGAAAGAAACATATGAGCCTCTTTTTAACAGTCAATTTTAGTTGCTTTAAGATTCCATTTTTCACATTCTCGACATCACAGTTTTGTTTCCATGCGCCACCACTCGAGTTGTATCCATTGATATTCTCCTCTCTACGTTGGAAGATCAGAGAACCAAAGCAGAGGCACGCAAAATTTGCGATTAAAAGTAATTTGATAGGAAAGGTGTTCGAAATTACGTTTTAAAATACACTGAATGTTATCTCATCTTAATAATGAGAACCGAAGAGCAAAGTCTCGTCGCCAACTTGAACGGGAGTTTTGAACATGAACTAGTTCATTAACTGAGCAGAAGCCATTGATATTTCTAGGAGTAATGAATTGACTGATACACGCCAGACACTATGAGGGATGAAACCACAGCAATCTAAAACAGAGTCAAAATTGGTGGACTGCACGTAAGAGGTAGGTGTTTTCGACTTGTAGTTTTGAAGTTATTAGTTTCATATTCAATTTTAAATATCACGCTCTCTACAATACCGTGCTGCCTTCAGAGCTGCGGTTGACCTCGACACAGTGGGTCGCTTATCACGTAAAAATCCATCGTTCGGAAGAAAAGAGCCTGCGTCCTTAGTGCAAGGGCAAGAAGGATTGATCGCATCTTATTCCTTAACATTTACCTCTCCATGATTCTATTCCGTACGTCGCAAGATCAGATAACTCAAGCATGGCATCAGGAGACCGAAAATCAAAGTAATTGTGCACAAAATACATGGGGAATTATTACTTGTGCACTATGAAGATTATTTTATGATAATTGCAACGATCAAGGGGGAAGTCTCATCGCCAGCTTGGGCATGTGCAGGGAAGCGTCTACTAGACCCTAATGGTATTAACTGAGAAGACGCCTTTTAGTTTTGCTGTAGTAGTGAGTTGATTGCTGCTCAAAGAGGTGGATAAAGGGAAAGCGCAGAGTGATCTACAGGGGAGAGTTACAAGTAAGTGCCTTACACTCACATTTCTGAGAGAGCTTTCGTATGAAATCTTAGGTCTTTCCGCCCCCAGAAGTACGTTTCGGGAAGAATGTTGAAATATTTCCTTGCGGATATTCAAATTTGATTGAACGCTTCTCGACCCTGCCTACTCGTTAACGTTTGAATCACAGGAGTGAAGTCAAGCAAAAATCGAGAAGAGTGAGAGGCGCAGCTTTAGTGGTGGAGAGCAGAGCAGTTAAACTTACTTCTTTGGCAAACTCTGAATAAAACGGACACGTTCAGATCCTAAAGGCGAGGAACGTTCCCAAGCACTCCCGTGCGTAGGAATAAATCGTCTGATTCAATCAAAGACTGACGACACTTTGGCAGTTTATTATTCGGTCGAATGTCAAGGCCAGCTATCCGCGGAAACACCATTCTCACAATTTTGTAGTATTCCTAGAGTATTCTACCGGCTGTAAATAGTTAGGCTACAGCATAATAATTTGTGCATCGAGCCTCAATTCCACTGGGCGTAAATAATTGCTAGTTTAGTCAGACTGGAAGTTCATGGAGCCATTGTTGGATCTTTGATTACTCTGGATACCAACGGACTGGCAATAAAACGACCAATGGCACTGTTCGCGTATTTGTTATGCAAAATGCCACCAGCCATTGCTAAGACCGATGCCATTTTTGCATTGTCCGTCCATCCATTGTGAGTGGGGCAATTTTACATTTTATTTATTTATTTATTTATTTATTTATTTATTTATTTATTTATTTATTTATTTATTATATGATCAGTGTACAAAACACTACATTTTTTCTTCTTGCTAAAATTTACTGAAAGTAAACTTACAATCATCTTTCTACTACGTAGGTAGACGTATCTTTACACAATAACTTCTTTACTAAGGAAAGTTTTAGGGAAAAATTTAGAAAAGTCTTAGAGAGGTAGGTATGTTTAGGAAGTTTTGGAAGACGTGAGTGAATAAAATTAATGTGGAGATGTACCATGGAGAGTTTGCAATAGTGCCGAGCAACTAATTTTGGACTAATTGAAATATGGCAAATCTGATCCATATGCATAGAAAAGTAGTGGTCATAAGATAGTTTGGAAAGTAATAAAGGGGCATTTTCTGGTCATTTAGAAGATCTATTGATTATTGGTTTACGTCGGTGAAGTTTATTTTGGCTTGATTAAATTTATTATTTATGAGATATTTCCGATTGAAATACTTTTCTAATTAAAGTTCTAGATATTTTATGGGGTTTTGTGAGGGTGTTATAAGGAGAAATATCCAAAAGCTGTCTCGACATAAAGGAGTGTTGAACCTCTTTAAATACACATCACAAACGTTATTCTACCGCAAAAGTGTTCATTAACTGGATTAGTTGGTTTTGTTACAAAGCAATCGGGAAGCGCGCAAGACCAATGACAAATTTGTGTTATAGATTTTCATTTTACCACCGTAGATTAAACTCATTTACAATAACTGTATCTATGTGATATGTGTAAATTACCCGATTCTTCTCCATTCTTATAAGAACGTGTGATGGATTCTAATTTGATTTCACGCCTAAATTGTATACCTTTGAGCTCTCAACAGTTCAGTCAGAAACTAATGTTTCTGACAGGGCAATGTCGACTAAAAAATTACCAATATAGTTTGTTTTGTTTATGTCTCAGAAGAACAATATACGTTTCAAAATTATTACATTTTGAGATTAGTTTTAAGTATATTAAAGTTAAAAAGTGCTTTTTATCAAAACAAAAATACGTGACTTTTATTTAC